AAAAAAAATAAAATAAAACTGAAAAGAATGCTAGCCAGTGCGATGCCCTATAAAAGTTAAAAATTATCTACCTTGACTTCTTTTAAAGCACTATATAAGTAAATAAACTCCATAATAAAAAAGGCAATAATTGAAAAAAATATTAATAAATTTCAATTTATACGTATATCGATATTTCTTATAAATTCCCCAAAAATTGTAGAATAAATTTTCTACTAATTCCATATTTATTCCCTAAAAAACCTCTAAAAATACTTTAATTGAATTGCATATACATACGTAAATTTTACTTAATTCCATACTTAAATTCTATATATATATAAATATGTACTCTAAGAAAATACCATAATATATCTATCAAAATTTCCTATACTTCTAAAATTTTCAATAAAGTTTTTAAATTTTCTATAAATTTCCTGTAAGTTTCCCTTCAATTTCTTTTAAGTTCCTTTTAAACTTCCTAGAGTAAAAAGATGATGGTACTTCAAAATGTTGTGTTATTATCTTTGATATTTATTTGCAATGTTTTTTTCCAGGGTATTTAGTTTTGCTGTTGTCAAATGCAATTGCTGCTGCGACAACAATAACAATAATGAAAAGCATTTAATGCATTTTGCGCACGCTTAAAGCGAGAAAATTATGTGAATTTTATGAATGTTGTGCATTTAGTAGATTGTTTGTTGTTGCAGTTATTGTTGTTGTTGTTGTTGTTGTAGCACACCTGCGTGCCAAATTAACCGCATCGGTGACAAAAAAAAAAAAAAAACATTAACAACGAAAATATCAACAATGATATTTCAAGTTTAATAAGCGCAAAAATGGGTGGCATTTGATGTGGCCAAGACGCCGCTTGTCTTGGCTTGGCTTGACTTGGCCTGGTAGCTGGAGGGCTGGCGGTGGGTTAGCCTAGGCATTAACATAATGATCTCAATATTTGCACGGCTTTATCACGATCCAGCAGTATTTAATTATACGATTACGACAATATCACGGCAGTTCGCTTCATTTTCTGCCCCACACACACACATTAGACACGCGATCTCATCCCCTCTCTCTCCAACCTCTCTATTGCTCTCTCTCTCTCTCTGCCCCTCTCTCTAGGCTGGGCAGTAAGTAAGTATGAGTAAGCGTACTCCGTGCTGCATTGTTGTTAATGCTGTGATTATTGCAATTGTTGTTGCTTGTCAACCAAACAAACCTCCCCCACTCCGCCCCGCGCCACTCCCTTACACTATGGAAATTGTTCTTAGCAATGATTTCAGCAACTAAAAATACACTCCAAAGACATTTTCGCTGTTTTGTTTTATTTTTCTTATGTGCCAAACGAAACTATTTCATGCTGTGCACCCATTGCAGGTGGCTAAAATAGGCTGGATGGGTTAATGAGCTAACAGGTGTGACAATACGAAGCTATAAACGAAGCAAGATAAGCATCAAGAATTGGGCTAGTTCAATTTGTGGCAAACTGCATATTGGGTATATCGATAATTATCGATTTATGGCAATAACTAATTGTAACTAATTAAAAATATTATATATAGGGATCTCTCACAGCTGTCATTATAGTCGTATACAAACGTATATACTTATATTAAAAGTAAATATCTGTTATTTATTGAATTTAAAGAAAATTCCAGAAATTTGCCTTAGATAAGCTCAGACGCTATTATTACTGCGTCCCCAGGGTATCAGCCAGTTAGTCATACTGAACTAGAGCAATGCTGGTGCCAGCACAGCTCGTTGTGTGAGTGATTGACTCATGGCAAGGGCAGCTCGAAGCCAATCCAAATTCAAATTCAAGTGCAGCCAAAACGAGCGCGTGAGAAATGCAGCAAATCAAATTAGTGCAAAGTTTGCGGCTCGGCTCGGCTCGGCCTGGTCGTACCTATAAATAAGTAAGTGGAGCGCCCCAAACGAATGGCGTGACGGTGCGGCGTGAAGCGATCTGATATAATTGAGCATCAGCTCGCATATGGCATGACAGACCCCTCCTCTTGTCGGTCTTAAACTGCGGACACGACATTTGCCAATTGCCCTTATTATCGCTCTTCAGCTTATAATAATAATCTGTAAACATTGTGTTTAAATATATCAGTGAGCATATTGAAGAAGTGAATAGGGCAGAGGGAGACAGAGAGATGCTAGGGACAGCTTAGCTCTGAGGAGGAGAAAGATCAATTGATTTTTATATCACAATACATATATTGGTAAATCTGTCATATCTATCAGGTAAAATATGTTTCGGTTAATAAAAAGTAAATGTTAAAGTATATTTTACTTAGTCTTAATTAGTAAATATATTATATATAAAACCTGGCAACCCACTTATTATGAGGGCTCACACATTAAAAAAAAAATGTAGCCTCAATATTAAAAGAAAAATAAAAGCCCCCATATTATAAAAATTTTAAGGACTGTAAAATATAGTGCCCCTATATTAAAAACCCTCATGTTGAAATACATTGTCAAGAAAGAAAAGAAAGTGTAGCATATAATAATAACCGTGATGAGTAATCTCAAAAATGGATCAAATCTGTTTGATGTTTCTCAAGTTCAGCTCAAAAACAAATTATAATAATATTTCTAAAATAATATTCTTTCAGAACACCCAAAAAGTAGGCTTTAAATATTTTGAGAATATGCAATGTCAATCTTCAGTTCTGAAACGTGATTTGTCAAGTTACTTTAAGGCTTTCCCAGAGCAGTTAGAATCAATTAAGATGACAATAGGTGCAGAAGAAGAGCCCAAAAAGGTTTACTTCTTTTGCCTTTCATAGCTTAAATAAAGAAACATCTGTGAGTGTTGTTAATTGCATTTATACAGCCCGATGTCTGTCAGCTGGCTGTGTGATCTATGCGGACACTTTTTTTCTGTTCTCTATCTTAGTGGTCCTTGAGCCACTGCCAACAACAACAAAAATAGAAAACAGCTGTCCAAACAGACACTTAAATACAATACACGAAGCGGTTAATGCCATTGGTTTAATTGTTGCAATTAGCAAACAATGCGAAACAGTTGTTAAACCAATTTCCAGAATCGACGGACCATTTGCATTCAGCGTTGTCCGAACAAAAGACTCCGCTGCCAGTGCCGGTCCATTAAATAAAAGACGAAAACTAAAACTACATACTCGATTCGGTCTTTACATATGTAAATATTGACTATAAATGCCGTATATATATAGAGAAAATTAAATCCTTTGCCTGTTGTTTACATTTAACGAAACAAAACTGCTTTGTCTTAACTCAAATATTTGCCATTGATGTGTTAAATTTTTCAAAATTTATTTTTATTGATGATTAGTACTAAATAATTTAAATTTTTTAGTTTTTCTTCCTATTTTTTCATTTTTTTTTTATTATTTCAATATATCATTTACCACTTTTAATGAATTTTTTTGCAGTCTTTAAAATTTGTCTAAACAATGAATTTTCATGTTTTGTTAGTTTTTCTGGGTGTTTTTTTTTTGTGTTTCGTAATTTTTTTTTCATATAAATTTCATTTTCTAATTTTTATGTTGCTCTGAAAATTGTATTTTCTAGAAATTTTATTTAAAATGAATGCCACAAATATTCGGTTTCTAGAACTAGGTAGCTTTACGTTTCATTTGGATTCTTTTTTGTAATTTTATTTTTTTTTAATACCTTCTTGCTAGATAAATTGCAATAGATGTACCAATTCATATACAACTGATGCGACGATGACAACAATCAGATTTCATTTCAAAATTTAACATTTTTTTTTTTTAGTTTTTCACTTGCGGTTATTGTTTTTTTTGTTTTGAATATTAAAAAATATATATGGAAAAATTGTACACTGATATTGAGGTATTGGAAAAAATCGGCGTATATGTATATATATATACAATACTTTCACTTCTTGTATTGAATTTAATTTTGGTTGGGGCGCCACGGTGGTATTTTTGTTGTAGTTTTTATATT